TAAATATTTTACAATCTTTTTTTAACACCCTGTATTTCTGCTTTATTTATCTGTAGTTACCATAGAAAAACATGTCTGAATATTCTTATGTTTATAAACATTACTATGGAAACACGTAACTAAAGATATTCCTTATAATTTGAGACAGACATTATTCATAGTTTTGACTATACATCGTTACATAAGACACAATAAAATCTATTCCCATAATTATTATTCAAATTAAATTTAATTAGTCAACAAAATATTCAATTAAGTGAAGAAATTATTGTCATTGTTGCGTCCTGTGGGAACGTATATTTGTGACAAAGTTTTTGCAATTCTTTTCATAAAAGTTTGTAATAATTATGCGAATTCGGGGAAAAAACCCGTTCAAGATTAGTAAGTAGTGCCACCTACATTTCCATTTCATTGATACGAAATAAACAAATATTTACGGTGATTAATACTTGAGTTTAAATTTCTTTGCATAAATGATTAGTGTTGATTAATATACAGTGTGTTCCGTTTTTATTGTTACATATTCGAACAGGTAAAAGAATATTCAATTTTAAGACAAAAGTTTCCTATAAACATGTATCAAAACATGTTTTGCAAAGAAGCTACACCCTCTGAAAGGGTTGAAAAAAACTCTTTTTTGTAAAAAACTATGGAATTAAAAATTTTGTTGCTAAAAGTGGCAAAACTTTTGGTTTTGGGTTTTATTCTAACCCCCATTTTCATCTTAATTTGCTAATTTTTTGACCCATTTGGATGATATTTTACTTGAAAAAGGCAAAAATAATTTCGTTTTCGACCGCTAATTTATTTTAGCAAAATATTGTGAAAAAAATCAGTTTTGGCCCAAAATAATAATACAATTTTTTGCCTATTTATTTTTGGGCATGCTTTGATAAAAAACAATTAAGATTTTTGTTCAAAAATTAGCAAAAAACGCCATTTCCTATCTAATTAGGAGAGTACTCCGCATTTTTAACTTAAAAAGTCAAAAATAATGTTATTTTCGACCAAATTTAGTCATTTTTTTACTAAAATTTTGCAAAAACAGCTTTTAACTCAAAGACACTTTAAAAATGCACTAACTTGGTGTTTTTTTTGCTTGTGAATAATTTTTTTCGAAAAAGAGTAGATTTTTAGATCACCAAAATAAATCCAATAAAACAGACCAAAATAGAACAGTAATTTGAATCTAGTCTAGTGATTTTGTGGCTTATTTGCGAAAAAAAAGTTTTTAGCTGAAAAACATGTTTTTACTCTCGAAAATGTCAAAAATAGCATAATTATCGATCTAATTTGGTAATTTTAGGACCTTTTTGAACAAAATTTTATACTAAAAAGGTTCAAGGATAATTAAAATGGCAACAATATATTATCATTGTCGACCTAATTTGGTAAGTTTTGATCTGTTTTAGCGAAAAAACTCAGTTTATTACCTAAAAAATGTATTTAACTGCTTAAAAAAGCAAAAATGGCACAATTTTTATCAATTTTTAGACCCGTTTGAACAAAATTTTGCAAAAAAATGCATTCCTGAGAGAAAGTGAAAAATAACATCATTTTCGATTTAATTTCGTGGTTTTTTATTTTGTCTCGATAAAGTCTTATTCAAAATTTGAGTTTTTATGCTAAAACGTTCAAAAAAGCAAAAATAGTATGAGTTTTGACTAAGTTTGACCATTTTTTTTCGGTAAAAAACACAAGAAAACAAGTGTAACATGAATATTAAAAAGATTTTACTCGAAAAGAGTAAGTTTATAGTAAATTTTAAAAAATTAAATTTTTTGTAGAAATTTCGAAAAATTTTATTCTTGTTTAAACGTCACTCATCAATGAGTTTTTCAAAAAATAAATAGTTTAAGCAAAAAACGTTTAGTTCCATACTTTTTTTTCACCTGGTATAGTATTTTTCAATACATGTTCATCGGAACCTTTTATCTTAAAATTGAATATTCTATCAGCTGTTTAAATTTGTAACAATAAAAATGAAACACCCTGTATTTGTAAGTAGCTTTTCCCGTAATCAACCTTGATATGATTTAACAATGGTTGAAAGAAAGAGATAAAGTTACAATTAATTGTTTGTTATGGAATGACTATAAAGTTTCATAATTTCATAAAATATTATTTTACTTAAACGAAACAAAATTTTCAAGTTTTTTTGAAACCCATCATTAATATGAAAATTTCGAAACAAGGAACAGCTTTGTGTTAAACCGAGTAGAAAGTTTCAAATTACCAAACGAAGCATATAAAATGAAACAACGGTTCTTTTTACATAATTTCACTCACTATTCGTATCCATACAAATCACTGAATCCGTCTCTGAATCACTCGCAAACCATCCAAGTGGTGATTCTCTCGTCGAAATATCACTATCCGATCTCAAATCATCGGAAGTCTCCTCGTGGATGGTCTCCAGGTACAAACAGGGCGTCGATGTTCCATGCAAAAAATACTCCGCATCTGAAACAATCACACATTTACGGAACATTTTTAATCGAATCAATAACTCTGGCATTGGAATGCAACAAGGTTTCCTCCTTTGAAATCGTCATAATTGGCATTCCTTCTAAACCGAAGCGAAACGAAGACTCGAAACTAGGTTTGAGTGTAGTGTGACATCAAGTGGGACGTTTTCTATAATTCTATGCTAATAACAACAACAACAACTGTTGCGGGGTTGGCCACAATGCTTGAATTTAGGGTGGCAACAATGACGCAAGAAATTGTTACACTTATTTACTTTTAAGTGTTGACCTTTCCGTAGCGTAAAGTACAGTTATTCAACAAAATATAATAAAAAGTACTTTTCCGTAACCTTGAAAAATCTCGCACCTGGATTTCCTATGAAGTCGTCTCGATCCAAAAGCGCTGTTGGTGTTTGAAATCCGTAAGCTGGCAACCAGGAGTTGGCCCCGGAGCCGAAATCCGGCCACTCGTTGAACGCCACATCTTCCATTTTGAAGTCATTCACGCCACGCAACGGTACCTCGAACTCGATTTTTAACACCGGAAAACTGCACCACCAAAACTCCGGACTTGCACCACCCGGAAACAATGGACTCTATTCATGGGTTAAATTGACCACGTGACCGATGGTACCACTCGATGGGTGTCTGCTGGTACTGACGGACACCGTGGATGCCTTCAAAGTCGGATTTACACTCAATGGTAGAGTACGGAAAAGGTGGAAGGGGGACGACAAACGGTGCGTACTACCTGACCCAGAGACGGACTCAAGGGGGATTTTTATTATGAATAAAACGCTTATTATATGCAAAATGCATATTTGTTATTAAGTTTCTATGCATATCTAAGGTTTTTCGATTAAAATAAGCCAAATAAAAAATGCATATTTTGCACAAATTTCCGATTAAGTTAAAAATTGGACAGTTTCGATAACAAAATATTTTAAATAGAATGTTTCCAAAAAATAATAATTAAGTAATATAAATTAAAGTAATATAAAAAATGATCTTATTTTAAGAGCAAAATTTTGTTTTGTT